ACTAATTCAAACTTAGAACATAAAATAAATTAGCCTGAATTTTTCTGTTGTAAATTTTTATCCAGAACACCACTTATTTCTAATCCCACTTTTTGTCCTCTTAGCATTAGACACCTTTTAAAAAAGTGATCTCCTTTTACACCATATATTCTCTTAACCACTGTATGACACGTAGTATGTTAAATTTTATTTTCCTAGGGGAAGTTGGATCCTAGGCTGAAAAAATATTCCCGCGTTCACCAAAAGCATGTCAGAAACAGTCAGCTCCAGAGTTGTGTCAGCACGACTGAACAATAGAATTTTCTCAGACTTTGCATAAGGACTCGAAAATAAGCAGACTGAATCCATTTTAACACGAGTATGGGCAAGCATTTCCTTTCACAGGATCCTTTCAGAGAGGAGCTAACCCCACAACTTCATTATGATTGTTAAATCCACACAGCAGATAAGCAAAACCTCAGCAAGGGTTCAGATTAGCCCAAATCATTTGATCGCGATGAGTCAGAAGGCGAATTAAGGAATCTATTGTTTTGCCTTAAAATGTCACGGTATAAACTGCATCTGCTCAGGAGCTGACTCACAAGACCCTCAGACAATAGGGTAGCAGGGGCAAGGAAAGGACTTGGGGAGATAACCTCAACAGCCAGCCCAGGCCAGAGTGTGTGTGCTCATCAATTATAATCCAAGCTTTTGAATGCAAGAGAATAAACCGTGGGTTCAGCTTTGCTAAATCGAATCTTTTTGCTGGGTTTTAGAATTTGGAAATCAATACTTTAAAAGGATTTTAAAATTCATATTTGCCTTTCCTTTGACTCATCTTGTTCCAGCTAGTTCAAACACAAGAAAATGGATGGTCAGCAAACTCTAAGCAGCTGCTGGCTGGATTAATATCTAAAAATCAAACTATTATCTACACTATCCAAGCCTCTCAGTTCAGAAAAATGAAAGTGGGAAGACTCATAAGCTCCTATTTTCCTTTTTTTTTCCTCTTTTTTTTTTTTTTTTTTTTTTTTTTTTTTTTTTGGTGCCAGAAACACTCAATAAAAATGTCTTGCAATATATCACACTTTTAGTCACTACAATAAGCCTGCGGGAAAGACATGAAATGAGAAAATTCTCAACTTTTCTCAAGATCACACAAAAAGAAAAAAAAAATCTGATCAGCTCAGAGTTACTGTGAGTTTCGGGTGAGGAAGGAATATCAAGTAGACTAAATCTAAATCAGCTTATCTTCTCTAGTACCAAAGGATAAAACTTGTAAATACATCAAGAACGTTGAAATTCTCAGCAGAAATCAGCCTCAGAAAAACAGTCTTTATCAAAAATCCAGTATGCATTGTTATCTACAGAAACAAATCATTATCATTTTCTATATTTATTTAAATCATGAAAGTGCACATGGGTTGAACTAAGTCACTTCTCAGCTTCTAATTCGAACCCAAAGCTTGTACTAAGCACTCTGTCATGGAAGTGAGAGATGATTTGTTAACTGTCTTAAAACTGTAGCCATGTACACGTAGCTATCATAGTTAAATAGATATCATACTTAAAACATGGTAAATAGTATTTAAATATGTTATGGTAAGGTCAGATTCAATACTGTTTAGTTTTTGTTATTACTTTGAGGGGTTTAGGACCAGGGTCTTGTAACTACTCTGCATATCACAGAATCAAAGAATCATAGAACACCAGGTTGGAATGGGACCTCAAGGATCAAGTGTCCAAACTTTCTAAGCAACAGCACATGAATGAATCTAGGAAGAAAAAAAATGATAGCAATAAACCACATGATAAATAGCAGCATTAATTACTGGCACAACTGAACAGAAGGATACATTTTGCCTTTAAAATTTTCTGCTGACACGACACACAGGAATGGTAGCACTGGATAGATATCACTGATCTGTGACTGTTCCAGTATCTAAGAAGATTATTTAATGTGGCTGTTTGGAGTTAGTGCACAGGTGCAGTCATTGCGTTTACTGCACCAAGGGAAGTGAAATTCATTAAGAACCTGCCCCTACGGGAAATCTGTCCCAGTGCTCCTGTGAGCTCCTGCATGTCCTCCCTTCAGCTCAATCCCCCCTAAATATACCACGGGGGCATTTCTGCCAACTGCACCAACTTTTACTGTCCTGCAAGTGCCCTAGAACAAGATGCTTTGCTTTCTTAAAATTTTGTTCCTTAAAATTCCCTTCCTTTAAGGGGTTGGCTTGATAGTTGCTTTCAGCATCTAAAATAATATAAGGGATGGCAACAAGAAAGGTAGTAGAAGATATGAATTTATGTGTTCAACAGAGTGTTAGAACTAATTCAATGAGCAGTAGAAGAAATTGTAAATGACAAAGGCATTTACAGTTAACTGTCTAAGAGAATGCAGGGAAGTAAATCATTACATGAAAAAGGAGCTCCTTTTCCCAACCTACCCTATTAAAGACCCCACTAAAGAGCCAAGGCATTTATTGATTGCTTTCTACTTTCCCACTGCTGAAACTAAGTACTCCTCTATTTACTTTGATTTAAAAATGCATTATTGTCTACTTTCTAATAAACCAGACAGTGGAACAAGAAACTCAAATTATTCTAAGTTTATTCTTAAAAGTCCGTAGTGTAGGGGTTTTCTTGGTGTGGTGGTTTTTTTTTCTTTTTTTTTTTTTTTTTTTTTTTTTTTTTTTTTTTTGTAAGACTGAAGGCCTTAATCCTTAAAAGCCTTTTTGAAAGAAGGGTTCCTCGATGCTGGCCCTGCAGCTGGGCCCAGATTGAAAGTGCACTTACATTTTTATGTTCAGCGCTGAAGGACTCTGAAGTTAGCCCTCGCACTGCACATAAAAGCTTTGGAAAGGGCATTCTTTGCCACTCGTGCAATTCATTCTCTAAGAAAAGGAAATGGAAAGAAAGATTTCATGTCCAGGGCTTCAGGCCTTTGATCATTTGATGAACATTGGATCCTCAACCTGGGCCTCCAGCTTCTCAGGCCAGACAAAGAGGGCCCCGGCCGCACAGGCTGGGCCGCGGCTCCCGCCCGAACAAAACCTTTGGCGGCCGCACAGTGTGACAGCCTGGGAAAGGCCCACCTCAGCAGGGCTGAGATGCCCGCTCTGCCCTTTGATCTTTCATTTAAACTCCAGCCAAAGCACCAGGTCAGGGGATTTCGCGTCGCACACCCCCACGGGCAGAGGGGAGCAGGTCAAGAACAAAATGGGGGTGACCGATCTCCAAAAAGCCCTGTGACGCCTTTCTCTGGCCAGTTTCACATGACTTGTCTGGTATTGTGAGGCGCTAAGCCCACACTTAAAATGGAATTTGACATTACATGGTACAATGGAGTCAATAAATGGCATTCTTCAGTGCTTTTACAACAAAGTCAACCCTCCCTTAAGTGGCTGAAAGCCCCGAGCTAGAAAATACTTCTCATTTACTTCTTTACGCCAATAAATTGCATATACTTTAAATATATTTTTCACTATGGCTCCTCACTGCTGATGGTTGGAATGAGCTGCAAAAACACTTAACAAATTAATTTTACGATGTACCATTGCTTCTATTTTTAAAGTCTAGGTTGTCACATGGCACGTAACAAGCATTGGAAATATCTTCATATTCCTTCGCAAACCAAAAACCTATTTTCCAACAAGCAAGAAAAACTAATCTCATCCCACTGAAAAATTTATTTTCAGTGCAGTGCAAAGGAGAAGGCAAACATACAACTTCTTTTAGCATCAGCAGCAAGTTCCACATGATGCTCACAGGCAGAAAATTCAGTCCATGTTTGACGAGACATGTTAACAGAAACCAGAGAGGAAAAAAATGCTAAAATCCCCTTTCTAAAGGGACAGGATGCCACCATGTCCCAGAGGACTGGAATATTCAGGATGCAACAGCAGATGACTGCAAAGCGTGGAGTGTATTTTTAAACTACATATAAAAATATGTCTGTGTTAGAAGATTTTCAACAACAACTGTAAAGTGCCTAGAACTCAAAGAACTAAATATTATTGTTTCTCTATATAAATTAGTATGTTTTTACAACTAATACTTTTTCATTAAATACACAGATGTGCATAATGCCAGATCAAGGTGGCTTAAAAATTCAGGTTAAGAATCAGTAAAGGTGAATTACTATTTTTGTATATTTTTTGTCAGGTTTACATGCCTGCTTTCACTTTCCATCCTTTTGAAGACAGCATCAGTATTAAAAATTTCTTTAGTCCTACCAAAAATTATTTCAGGGTATCTTAAGTACTTTCCTCCATGGACCATTTACCAATCAAGAAAAAATAAAGGAATGGTCCCAATCTCTAGAGATCTATACACTTAATTTTAAACAAATAACAGTTTATGCTTATGTTGACAGATGATTTCCCACTTCATTAAATTACATATCACAGATAAGCCCACTAAGAAATAGAAAAGTTAAATACATTGTTCAATATCAAACAGATAGTGCCAGAACTTGAAACAGAGAATTAACTGATTTATTTTCAGTCCCCAGTTCCTGTTCACTACAGTCTTTCCTTCTAAGAGACAAATTTGTGTAGCACATGAGGCCCTATGTGGCACCAGCATTTTTAGGTCCTTTGGTGGCAATGGGCAGCTACAAAAAGCAAAGTGATCAAAATTGACCACCGTGGCTGGGGATGTGACAGGGGACTGAGCAAGCCATGACCAGCCCAGGGCCTAACCCATGCAACCTCTAAACCACAATTGTACAGACCCAAGGCTTCTACTTCTAAAAACAGTAGTACTATTTTAAATGATAAATTTAAAAATTTAAACACTTCTCAACAGCACAAACACACTTGCTCATTCACAAAGCATTTGCGTTAGGGTGTGCTGTTTAAAATTGTTATGAAAATAAAACTATAGAACATTCAGGAAAGAGTACAATTTGCCTCTAATTTATTCCCAGATTTTCTGTGACTATTGCTCCCCCACTGTTGTCATGGCAACACAAGCACATTTTTCAGTACCGAGGAAGTAACAAGCCTTTCGATTCTCACCTTTGGCCATTTTATTGAGAACCATGTCAATTAGAATGTAGGTTCCACTTCTTCCTGCACCATCGCTGCCAACAGAAAAGGAAAAAGAAAAATAAAGCCTATCAATGTGCATCTAGATTCAACATGAAGGTACCTGCCCTTAATGTTATATACTGTTACACATGGGGGAAGAGGAGAGAATGAGAGGTTAAGGTCGGGTACTGAGAGAACAGAGAAAGCTTGAACTCAATTAACACAAGTTGGTGGTGGAAGATTAACCACTACCCTACATGGAGAATGGGCCTTTGCTTTGATTTTTGTTAAGTCAAGCTGTGTTTATGCAAGAAAAACATTTTAAACAACAGTGGAAAAGTCACTAACCCTAAACCAGGATACCATTTCTCTTCAGTGACCTTATAGTCAGTAGAGATCAAGAATCACAGAATAAGTGAGACCAGAATATTAACGAGAACAGTCAAAAATGCATTTGAACACAGTGGTCATAGGGAATGCAGAGAGCTGTTCAAGAACTAAAATATTTGGTTATGGAGGCACTTGCAATCTTTTTTCCTCACTATACATCCCGAGTGGTTTTTTTTTTTTTTTTTATTTTTACCTTTCCCTTTAATTCTTCCTTGATTGCAATGACCAGAAAAAGTATTATAATGTAATTCCTAAGAAACAGCTTTAACTTTTATGTATCAATAGCCCTTCCTCAGAGATGTGAGATCAAACCTCATGAGGGGGAAAGTGCCCTAATCTGAATGCAGCTTGTGTCCCTTTCGGAGAGCAACGTGTAATTGTCAGTGTGATGCTCTTTTAGAGCTGCTGTTAGCAAACATAATTAAGACTTTAAGTAAAAGCTTTTTTTCCTTCCCTCCCCAAAATTTTTACAAAGGTGTGTGTGACCAATTAGACTGGTATGTAGTTTTATTAATTAAGCCATTATTTTTATCGATAGCTCAATTTGTGCACAAGAATTAACAAAAGGAAAAATAATAGAACAGCAGGAAGCACATTATTGCATTCTGTTTACAGGCAGACTATGAAACTTAATTTTTGTTAAGTCTCTGTAGACAGAAGCCTTTTTCTTTCAGTTGCTAGATTGCTGTTTAGAGAAAAGGAGATAATAAGTTTTTTTTTTCTCTATGAAGGGAACAAAGACACAATCTTATTACTTAAGCTGAATAATGAGAGACAAGGCAGTGATCAGGCCCAATAAAAATAAAAACTGATGAGTTGATGGTACATATTTCCATCCACTGTAGTAAGGAAAGAATGCGAAACTTGGAAGGTTCTTCATTCTGCATCAGATATTTATCTCAGGTTTCCTGAAGGCAATGCCAAGAAGCATTCTCTGGAGCATTCACCTCTGCTGAGGCTTCCTTGCATCCAGTGGAAGGTGACTCAGCTGAGCCAGGTGAGAAACACGTCCCTTCCCTCCTCAGTACCATCCAAAGTGGTGTGCCACATGGCAAACATCCTGCCTTTTAGCAGGATGTTTCTCTATCTTCGTTATCTACAAAGATATTTTTGATAAGTAGTGTAGAGTTCTCCATAGAACCTCCAATGACAAAACCCAACATTATGGTAAAGTTTTCCACTGAGCTGCCTGACAGCCTTCATGTGCATCTATCAGATTGTTAGGCCTAAAAATAACCTGTGCTTAAAGGATTGCTCAGGCAGGTTTCCATTCCCTGACACTGCCCTCTTACCATGATCTCTAAAGGTAAGCAAAGAAGAAATAAAACATAATTGTCTGTTAATAAAATAAGACCAAACTGGGAGGGAATGCAAAAAACCTCTATAATTTTGAAGATAAAAGAAACTGAAGCGCTACTTATACTGGAAAGTGTGACCATACATTGTTAAGTCATGGCTTAATATCTACAAAATCATATGAAAAGATAATTTTATGATTTTCGTAATTTTTATGAAAACAGATCCAAAATATTAGTTAGCACTAAAATACACTTGAATATCCACTTAATACCTTCAGCCTATCTCACTGTCTGTTTAGTGATTAATCTAAAGCTTTAACTTGCTCACTTAACTTATATCTATATTAAATTCTTACACATACAGATCTCTCTAAAGCTATTTTAGAAATTGTACTTGCCTGCAATGAACAACTACTGGACAAGAGCGACCCCTGTAGCACTTGTTAACTTTTCTGAAATAAAACAGACACAAAAAATTAATTAAGCACATTATAACTTTTTCTTTAGCCAACTGTCAAAAATAAGCAATAAGAAAATGCAAATATTGCTGTTTTTAAAGAAATACTCAGGATGATAATTTCTTAATATAACAAGAACTTGTTGGGTACATAAGCTGGTTTAAAGTTTAATTCTGCTTTGCTGTTGTAGAAATCCCAGAAAACATCCCATTGTTACTGTTGTCTGGGCAAAATTAATGAGCTATTTTCTCAAAAGGTTCATGTAGCTCCAAAATTATGATTATCTTGAGATGCTTTAATTTTAAAGCAAACTTTGAGTTTATGAGCTTGCTCAAAGAAATATCAAGGGCCATCAAACTGAATCCAAAATTAAAAATGGCTATTGCAGTACTCTTCGTTCAACGTGTGCCGATTTGTAATACCAGTTCTTCCCAGAAAGGCAAATATCAAATCTCCTGAAAGGTTTCTTAAAAATACTAGAATGTAATGTATTGTAGTAAAAATAACTAAACCCATCAGTAAGCTTTGCTGCTTTAGTTCCACTGCAAAAGTCTTATACATTTAATATTTAAATATTGTTGTCTTCAACAGCTTCCTGGTTAAACCGTTTCAGTGGCAAGAGGATATATGTGAAATCAGTCAATAAAAGTACAGTCATAGAGTAGGTCTGCTGATACGTAAACTCAGTGAAGGCATTAACTAGTGCTCAAGCAAACCAAGATACTCAGTCTAAGAACAGAGCCCACAAAATTGGTTTAATTCCATTTAAATTGCCTTACAAAACCCCAAATCCCAAGGCCTCTCTTTTGCTCTAGGATATATTTTGCATGTCAAGTATGTTACAGGCCCAAAACCCCATAAAATATGCACACATATGTTAAGAAGGAAAGATGAATAAAGACTAAAATGGGAAAGCATTGCTTCAGGAAATCAAAGCCTTCCATTCAAATTATCTGATGAGGTGTTTTGAGTTTACTGGGGCTAGAAGGTCTCCTATAAAACCACTTCATAGGGAAGCTTCCAAGGGGTGCCCAGACCCTCCAATGGTCCCCATCTCAGTGCAAGTGTCACACAGGATCCCGATGGCTAAACTGAACCGAGCTGCTGAAATTTGGCAACAGTGCTATGATGTTATTATGAATTTTAAAGCATAACTAACCTACTGAATCATTTAGTTCTTGGCTGTTCATCTATTCACCAACATCTGTGCTGTGAAAACATGCATATATCTTTAAACATTGCTTACAGTATAGCCTGAGGATGCCTAAACTTCTGACAGGGCGTTTGGATACCTGGAACTCAACCCAAACAGGCTATGAAGGTGTTGGTGATATCCCACGAAACCATGTTTTCACATTCTACTTTTTGTTATTTAATATTCTAACTAATCTTGAAAACAATATTAAGTTACTGTAATGAATCCCTTTAAACATTTGAATTCAGGAACTTTTCACAATTCTTATGCTCTTGCTTACTTATGTAAATCATACTTGCAGAGACATTCTGTCTCTATTTATATTCCCTGGATGTAAGTAATTAATGCAGTAGAACAATGTTCTATGAAATAAGTGGTAAGTCACTGAGGAGCACTTGACTTCGGAAGTTAAATGGACCATTTATAGGTCCATAAATACATATATACACAGGCAGTACCAAGCAAAACTTCAGTGACTTAAGCTGCAGCAGACTTTACACATGAATGAATCATTCAATTCTTGATGGTCATATCTGAGGATCAGCTCCTTCTATATGATATAAAGCCTGATATTTATTCTTGTATTGTACAATAAATTATATTTGGAATGTCTGTACAGGCATGTGATACAGTCAGCCTGCATTTCCTGATGTGCAGCTGGTCATCCTCCCCCCATCCCCATCATGTGCATTAGCAAAGGGTTGTTTTTGCATTTAAAGTATTAAATAAAAGCTAATCACTACAGAGGGGTATTTACCATTTCTCTTTCTGCTTGTGTGGTTCCTTTGTTCCTTGCATGGTCCCACTAATATGATATTTGCATGTTGTGACTAGCCATCTACCAAAGTCCTAATATAATTTCAATGACAAACTTGATCTAAATCTATCAGACCTCTCAGTAAATCAGACAGCCAGAGACACATGTTAGGGAAAGACACCTTATGTTTGTCAGTTTTATTGAAGGCGTTTCAAACATTTTCATTATCACACATTTCAGAAAACACATTAAAACAAAGGGTTTCAAATCCAGCTGGTGCAGAGCTTTGTCTATATATAGTTTATGAAAATATTTAGAAATGCAGCAACGTCTCATTTCATTCTTAATTCTGGCTAATGAGAGTGAGCTGAAAATTCATCAGTAAGCAAAGTTCTTGAATGTTGAAGAAAATATATATTATATATATATATACATATACAGGAAGAATTAACTTAGAAAGAATGATTAGTAATACAAACCAACCCTTGGCTCATTGAGTGAAAAAGAAATCATCATGCAAACCATCAGCAAGCAAAGGTCAGAGGTCGTTAGAGGCTCAGAAAAGGGGTTTCCCACATTGTCCCTGCAGCAGAGTCACAGTTTCCAATGATCACTTTTGTGACTATGCAACTGGGCTCATATTACTAGCTGCAACATCACAAAAATGACACTGGCAACCGCTAATTAGCTGGCAAAATAAGAATTTGTCCATTTTTAAAGTGAGCAGTGTTAGTAAATGCCATTGCACACAGCGAGAAGTGATAGCATAATAGATATATATTTTAAGCAAAGCCCTCACATGTGATGCTAATTATCTTTTAGCTTAGCAGTCCCTCTTTAAAGTGTAAATGTGCTCCCTCTGGGCTCAAGAAATATTTAATGACACATATCAGTGCATGACTAACAAGCTAGTCCAGAGCAATAATGATTGGTCTATTGTTCAAAATGAAATTAGGACTCCAGAAGCATTCAAAACTGACCAGTGTTTTCCATAGTAGCCTCACCTCTCAGGGACTGTCTTTTGTATAGATTTGTGAAATATATAGAATAATCTCTTATTGGCAATTTATACCTACATTATGACAGTATGATAGATTATTCAGCAAGGTTTAATGTATCTTCTAGATGCAAAATCATCTAAATCACTGTCTGATACATAGTAAGAGAAATGTAAGCTTTCAGTTTTCAAAGAGACTAGGAAAATTTACTTCAATAAAAATTTTAAGGTCCATATTTCCACAGACAGACTCTGGGCAAGGTAATTTTGGGAATCCAATTTTTCTTGGTGATGAATTATAAAAAATAGAGGGTTGGTTATGTATATGCTTAATTTCATATATGTATGTGAATATATAAATATACACACATATCCATATATATATATACAAACACACTGAATGCACATAAAAACATAGGTAAGATTAAAAGAAATGAGAGTAGCCCCCACCTAGCACTACCCTACTAAGAGTATGGTAGCACTATCAGACATTTGTTCTGGGAGCTTTATGACTCAGCTGTTGTAATCCAGCAGAGTTTGTACTTTAAATAGAAAGTTTCAGGTGCAAAACACGTATTGTATAAATGAATTCCAAATACATTATTGTAGCAATAGTGCATTAGGTTTTTTGTCATTAAAAAAACTACAAAAAAAGAAAAAAAAAAGAAAAAAAAAAGAAAAAAAAAAGTAAAAAGAAAGATCAGATGACCAAGAAAACTGAGATTCATAGACCAGCTATTTTGCATGCCAAAATTCCTTTTCAGGTGGAATTTTACTATGCATTCAGTACTATGAGTTCATTGCACAAAATCTGCACGTAGCAAATGATTACAGTCCCCTACACTGGACTGTGAATACATGTGAAATGAACACTCAGAATTCAATTAAATCTTAACAGGTTCATTCCCATACTGGCTTTAAATACAAAGAGTGGCAGTTCCACTACTTTTCTCATCTAGTTATCATTTTTCTTTTTCAAAGTATTGCACAACACTTCTTCAACACGGCTATTTAACCCTTACACAATGCCACCCTAAGAAGCGCTTTCTTGGCGATGTGAACTGTGACTTACTGTAGATCTAATCCTGCAGTCCATGCAGGGACCTCAATCCTTACTGAAGCAAGTCAGAGTCGAGGCACTCCAAACTTCAGATGTCCTGGCTGTACAGGCTCATTTATACTCTAGTTAGAATTGCTGCCAGATTTCCCACTAACTTTCAGAAGAGCGAAGTCTGACGCTGCATGGGCTCTGTGCTGCACCCCACACAGCTTAATGGAACCCATGCAGAATTTTCACCACGGAAATTCACTACAGGCAACTTCCTCAGTACCACAAGCAAAGGGAAATCAACCTATAAAAATCATATTCAAGTTGAACCCGGGGAAGTAAACCTTAAAAATTCAATTACAATTTCAACTCCATCATATGCTTCCTCCCTCCACTATTGCTTTTGGGTTGCGACTGTAGCATCTCCTTACATTCTCACCTGGTCATAGCGCCAAGTGACTCAGAGCAGTTGTACTCCGTTACCCGCCCTGCACCGTGTGAGACGACTCTGTGTTTTGAAAAGCCTTGCAAGATGCACAAGAATACTGAATGGAGGAAGGGCAGCACTCAGTCCCACATTTTTAAGGGTAAAATTTTGCCAACAGGCAACCGTGCAAACAGCTCCTGTTGGACACATGCCAGCTTCTCCCCTCCGGTGCAGATGCACAACTTCGGCTGGCATCAGTCAGAGCTTCCAGCACTTATTGAAAGAAACAAGTTTGCACCTTTTGAGCGCTGAGCCCCTTATAATCACTTCGGGGGGTTTGTAGATAATATTGTAGTGCAGAGAGAACAACACACGATCCCACAGGCCGCTTGTGGATTGAGAACCAACTCCCCAAACCTCTCGGAGATTCTTTTCATTAGTCATAAGCGCATCGCTGTGGATTAGCTGATACACGCTAACACCTACACATGATGCACTGGGCACGGTTTGCAATCAAATGAAGATTATTTTGCTCCAATATTTATCATGCATGGCTTTAATTTTCAAATTAAAATTTAGATAGACACAGCAAACATTAGAGAAGGTGGCAAGGACTTTCACAGGTTTTGTCTTTGTGTATTTGTATTTTAAAGCCACTCTGACTTTCTTTAAAATTCCAGAGGGTCTGCTTTGTCAACATTTTCATCTGCTTTCTCAAATTTTCACTTTCCTGCAGCCAAAGGTCTACAGACCTTGCTGTTGGATCCTTATGAGCAAATGCTCCCATGGGAATGACGTTATCGCCATATGACTCCTCCATTGTGATTCTTTTTTTCAAGCATGCTGTTACTTCCTAATTTATTTGTGAGAGTCCTGAAATAAGGATCTTAGAGGAGCCACACAAAAAGCCTGGAAGCTCCAGAATGGATAAATTCTTGAAAAACAAAGAAATACAGAAGCAGCACTGAAGAGCTGTACAAAAGGAGGAAAGGTATCGATCTCTAAATGGGAAATGAGTATGTCTTAAAACCAGGCAACATCTCTGTGTGAGACAACACTAAACATCAACCTACTGCAGATATTTGTGTTAGTTTAGCACTGTGACATCACAGGCTGAGAAAGCCCCTTTCAAACCAAAAATCTTTGAAGGACAAATGAAAGCACTAGTCTAGTTCCTCAGATCGGTATCACCTTAAACAAGCAGTCATACTTTGTGCTTTACCTGCGGAAATCCAGAAGTGATCTCGTGGAAGCAGGAACCCTCTGATCGTTCCAGCTAAGGAAGTGGAACTGTGTCACTGTGCGTGTCTCGTTTGTCTGCAGGTTCTTCAGGTAGAAGCTCCTCACGAGGAAATCCTCGCACCAGATGTGCTCAGAGACAAGATTTACCTACACCCACAGGAAGGAACAAATGAGAGATCAGCAATTTGGGTTGCAAGTCACGTCTTCAGGATTGCAGGTGTAAGAGGTCTGGGATGAAGGAAATGCATGAACATTTTATTTTTATTAGCAAATTGGCCAGTACTGGGGAGAAAAAATAGAACTGATATAGCAATCAGTGTAGTTGTCAGGAAGGGGTTAGCTGCCTCTTCTATTGTATTGAAAACATTGGAAAAATCTTGACAATTTTAATGCAAAAGAAAATTCACTAAAATTATAACATTATGTGAACACAAAAGGTAATTTGTATTGAAAATGTGCTAGAATGGCAGTTGCTTTGTATTTGGAATTGCCCACAAGTGCGCTGCCCAGGCCACTCTTGGAGGTCTTAAAAATCTGAGTTGAACTCACATGAGAAGTGAAAATTTGGTTTCTTTGCTATGAAGAAAAATAAGCATTAAAAAATGCAGCTTCTTTGCAGAGCTCATCTCTTCAGGCAACGAGTCTGTCTGCATTTTAGCTTAAATAACAATATTTCTTCACAATATCTCCACATTTCTTCATATTTGGCATTGCGGTGTTATTTTCTTCCTCTACACAGCTGGACAACTGGAAAAACCTGACAGCTGTTGTCAATGTTACATTGCAACAAAACTGGTGATATGATATTTTGGGCTAGAAATGCAGAGCAGAAAATAAAAATACGTATTTGCTGTTGTGACTGAGACGAGGTAAAAATAGATAGGATTAATTACTACAGCAATATAGAGGCTTTTCTACAAAGATATACATATGGTTTCCTAAGGCAAAATTCACTAGTTCTAAAAATATTATTTTCCTATAAAATATAAATACATGCTCTTGTATATCAACCACTTGCAAAACCATTTGAAAAGCAAAATTACTGCCCTTATTAAAATTGTAATATTTGACTCACTATTTACCACATTTTATTCCATGGAAACTACCTTGCTATTAAAGCTGCACTCCAGTTTTCTGCAAATCTAAAAGTACTCGAAGGCGCACCAAGTGTGCTTAAGAGCCCTCAGCTCGACCTCCAGGTTAGATCGGTTTCAACACCGTTTTGCCCCGTACGAAACCAACCCGTGCACTTACTGTCACGTTGGCAACCAGATATTTTGTGTAGGTACCTCATAGATGTGGTAGAGGTTTGACCCTTCGTCTGGCCAATAGTGGTAGCACTGTTTGACTCCGTTTTCCACGAGGGGTGTCAGCATGACAATAACGACACAGCCGTTCTCCCAGACCATCTGCAGACAAAGAAAGACACCGTGGCCACATTGTGACTGCCTAATTACTGCGTGACATGTATAATTACTGCACTCAGACACACAATCAAAATTTATTCCATTCACAGGAAATTTATTTCATTTTCATTAGACACTTTTACTCCGCAGCTGCTTTCAAATCCCTGAATAAACTGGCACCATATTTTGCAGGCGTCCATGAAATATTAAAGAATTTCCCGCAAATTCAATTCGGGTCATCCACAAAATCTCTCCCTGCTTCTGGTACCGTGTTCAGCTGCTTTTCTGTCAAACTTTTAGATCAACTAAAGGAAATCTGAATGATGCTAGCAGAACACCCAGCTATTTAGGATTTGAAATTTAACACTAAAGCAGCACAGACCTACTAAAGTCACACGTACTGAAACCTGTTTCTGTTCTCAGCCCTGTGCCTTTTTCCAGTATGCCAAGTAGCAAGAGCCATTAAAGTGCTGCATTACTGAAACAATCATAAAAGTTGCACCTGAACAAAAACAATGAAGAAAAGACAGGAAAAACCCAAACCAAATCTGTTCTTCCAGAAACATTTCAGGGGGATAAAGCATCCCTCCAAATGCACATTTATAAAAGATTTGTTGTAAACATGCATTACTTTCCTTTCTTCTTTTTCTTTCCTTCAACTTTTTCTTTATTTTTCTTTTCCTTTCTCTTTTCTCTGTCTTTTTCTTGTTTATATTTTATTTTCCCTTCCTTATTTTTTTTGTTCTCTCCCCTCCCCCTCTTTTCTAGTTCTCTTTTCTCCTTTTATTTTCCTTTTTTTTTTTTTTTTCCTGGAGGTAGAAGGAAAGTCCAACTGCTGCTGCTTTCACAGAGCATAAGTACTGCAGGAACAGAGCAAAACAGGGTATCTTCATTGTCAGCGTGATCACTTAATAATTTAGACCAACCACAGAGTAGGATGCAGGAATCCAGCACATCCTCAACTAAAGGATTTGTGGATGTCTTCCACAAACAGCAAACAAGCAGAGATGCTCTGGTCTGGCATATCTCTGTTCCAAACACAGCCCATGGCTGAACAAAAAGGCTCCTATGAATTAATACCAAGCAGCATAATTACTAAAAACTGTTATTATTATGCTGTACATTGATGTTATATTTGCATACAACTTTCATTGTCTTTTTGCTAGCATATAAAATTACTAAATGTAGAGTAAACTGCTCTTTTTGTGAAGGGTTATGTTTATTTCACAGAAATATTTATAAGCAACTGTATTGACATGTAAATTTTGTCAACAAAAAAGGCCTTTGTCTAAACTGTGCAAAGATGAGATGATACATTCAATTCAAGGATTATTTTTTTTTAATTACATATCAAATAAAAAGGTTTCCCATTCATGGATAATGATGTTGTCTTCTCTCTTAAGAATAGCTTGCATATAGAGAAACAAATAACATTTTTCTTCCCTTTTTTTTTCATTTTGCAACATAATTAAAGCAACTTTTAAAACCAGCTTAGAATCATTTAGAGAAATGAATCTAGAGTTTGCACAGAATAGGGTTATTTATCATTTTGAAAGAAGTGAGGGAAAAAATTACAGTGGAATTTAAGAATAAAAATAATCTTTCTTATCTGCTTTCTTTTTTCCCCTTAAAAGATTTTTTAAATAAAAATACTATAATTCCCTCATCATCATGTTAAAATCTCAGAATGCCACAAAACCATTTAAAAATACTTTAAAATTACAGACATTTTACAGACAGATGTAGATTTATCATTTGTATCTTTTTTGTACTGCATTTCAGGCCACAGCTGGGAACCTTCTTTATATGTAAAGAAGATGATACAGATTTCATTCACTCCAACGTAGTTTCACTTTTTCAGTCAGCAATCAGACTAAGATAAGAATTCAAAACATGCATCTTACTTTAAAACTAGCCCCACTAAATCAGTACTTCCATCACATAACAATTTAATGTGCCTCTAGAAGGTATAGAAGCTCATTGAAGCCATTACGAAAATGAGGAGAAACACAGTTTTTATGAGTGTAATAAAAATACAATGATCTAGACCATAAACTAATCATCGAGCACTCTGCTTGTGCCACCCAAGTGTAACATTATAAAAGCCCACTCATTTAGAGAGGAATTCTTACAGTTTGGCAACCCTGTTCATTGGTTCAAAGATAGAGCATTTCATTAGAGAGGGGCTGTCTGCATCTCTGAAGATTTCATTAAGCATAAATCCGAATGAAAGTTAATTTAAACAAACAATTTCTAAGTTACTCTGGGGTATAATATTTCTTTTAGGTCATTATGTGAAAAGTAGGAGTCAAATCTACTAAATCAAGAAGGCAATACCATCTAGTGCCATCATCCCTGTTACAACAACTGCCCCTGCATCTCCTGTGCTCACAATTGAGATGGGATTTCCACTAAGGCTCGCAGGCTGTGACTGGAGCACTACAGCATTTTCTTTGTTTCCTTGCTAATTCAAATGTTAGAACATCCGGCTACTATCTGGATTTCTTCCCAAAGAATGTGGAAGTGGGATGAATCAAAAGCAGTTCACAGAGCTTTATACTGGTTCACCTCCCCACCTTTAGCTCGTGGATGAGTTTGTCAGCAGCTGCATCTCCCAGCATGGACACTTGGCTGAGCTCAGGGTGGAGACACGTCCATGAAATGGAAAGTGGCCCCAAAGAGTGTGTCTTGGTAACAAACTGGTTACACAGACCAGGTCTGCACAATCCTAGTACAGCCTCTGGAGAACTGCCTCTGGCTCATGGCTGGGCTTCGCGAATGAAGATTTGAGAGGGGCTCTACCCACGCTTGCTACAAGCGCGCTGATGGCTAAAGAGGCCAATGCGAGATAGACAAGTCTGGTTGCAGAAGGCACAGCAGAAAGACTCCCCAGGTGATATCGACAAGACGCGATTCTTTCTGCACTGTCTTTTCTCCTCGAGAGTGATCCTGCGTGTGTTCTCAAAAGCAGCAGCAGCGTTATAGATGGTGTGTCTCCAGGCCTCCTGATTGGAGGCCAGGGTAGACCAGTGGTGGTGATCAATATGGCCAAGGCTGAGGGATTGTTTCAGGCGCCTCTGTGTACCCAAGAGACATTTCAGCTGGGCTTGGAAATTAAAGGAGGAGATTTGGTGGCAAATTCATGGTAATGCTCGTATTTCTGAACTTTGTATGCTTGCACAATAGAAAGTAAGCCAATGCATGTGATAGAAGAATGAAGAGAATATCAAGCCCTGAAGGCAGAGGCTTTTATGTTTAGGTAGAGCCCAGCAAAGTTAAGCCTTAAACTCTAAATGTCTATAAAATATAAAGATTTATATAGATATTATATCATACATGCTTATGTATTTGAAATATATAAAACTAAACTTACTTAAAATCACTTAGCACAGGCAGTTTCATCTTTGTAATTTATGGAATACTTTCAGGAGAAGAGGAAATGTTGAACAGAGTCTTCTGACTGGAAGAGATAAAGTCTGAGTTCCATACAGGAGCTCACTGCAGAGCTCACAGAGTGTGCTGTGCTGAAAAGGGAGGACAGTGTAATTTTGTGGGACATCCACTCTCAGCCTATGGGCCTGGAGAGTAACATGTTAACGATCTTTAATGAGGTTCTGCTGTATGCATCATTCTCAAAACACTTCTTAGACAAAAATAACACCATCCTGCTCCATTTATTGCAAATTAAAGGCTGAATCCTGCAACCCAAAGATGAGCAGTGTGTTTGAGATCCGCAGGATTCCCTGTTGATGAAATCCACCAAGTGTGGAGACCTCATGCTGTGGTTATCCAGCATGCCAGTCCCATACAAAGGACTTCCACACTGGGATGAATTATATTTAGTACGAATTACTTGAAAAGGAGCACAGAATTGGTTTTTCAAGCATGGAGAAAAACAAAGTCACAAATAGTAGAACCAGTGTTACAAGACTGCCACAAAACTGATAAAACATCATTTTTTGGAGAGTTTATACTTGAAAATGCCCTTGTTTACTAGCTTGTAAATAAAATGGTTAATATTAAACCCTTTTTTTTCCAGACACTTCATCACTTTGAAGCTTCTTTTTATAATGAACGATCCTCCCCAAACTTATTTTTCAGTCATTTTCTTAATTTTAGTGATGGGGAAATGACAAGATATGAGCTCTGCCCAGACACTCTTCTTTTAATGGAGACTAGTGGAGAAGTTTCTAAAATGTGATGATTTAAAAGTAGAAAATAGATGGGATAATCATTTAAATCCAGCCAGTTTACTAAATATAACAGGCTAATCACACCAGCTGCTTTCTGGGAGAGATCTCCAGCAAACTACGGAATGTGCCTTTTCAATCTTTTAGGCTTCCTACAGTTGAGAAATGCAAAGATTTGGAAAAGCAGAAAAAACAGCAAAGAGAACCCAAATAATTTCTAATGATAATCAAAACTCAACATGAATAAATGCAACTCCTAAAGAAACCAACAAAGCAAGGTACTAACCCTTGCTGGGTCAGGTAATATTCATCCCATTACATATTGTGAAAATAATTAACTCCGACTTCTTTTAAGCTTTAAAAAAAGGAGATCTTTTAACTGAAAAAAAAATAGCATAGAATTTTGATTTTTGTTATCAACTAGAACCTTGCAAGGTATACCCGTCAAAAAGTAATACAAATGTTTTTTGCAGACTGTTTTGTTTGAAAATGACTTATCATTTTGATACGAAATCAAGGTCAGAATTGCCACTTGCAAAATCACAGCAGTGCCTGAGAGCTAAGCAAACCTGTATGTTGAAAAATTAACGATCAACAATCTGTATTTAATTTAAAAAGTATCTGACTGCAGCTGAAAAGATGGTTTCAGAGACGACCATACATAAATATGAGGTCATCAGTCTGGTTCCATGTATTATGTCCCCTGCTGTTGCAGCAACACTTGTTTCGAAGTCAACAGGAAAGGCAAACTCAAGATGATTGCATGTGTTGCAATAATTTATGTTTTCTCAGAGAGACATAAACTGCTCTTAT